TCTTAATTGTAAATACCTATTTTCTCTGCTCGTAACATTTCCGTTTGAAACAATCGCTACAGTCTGTAAAATAAATGGTTGTTAACGGCTATATGATTTTACTGCAGTAAGTCAGTGTTCAGTTATACAGTTTCAGTTCTTGTGGCAGCGTACGAAAAGCAAGTTTTCTTTTTCGTTAAGCAATGCATTATTAATAATACAGGAAACGAGCTTTCTTTCCGATGTAACGTAACAAATCGAAAGACCCCTTATCTTGTTGCTATAGAGCAAGGCTATAATCACAGTCTCTTGTCTAGAGTTAGAGAAACACAGTATTAACGCGCGCTGTATAAACAATAATAAGAACTTTTGTAATTTTATGAATACCACAGAAGCCCCCTGGCAAAAGATGAACACTGCCCCAGTGTGTTTTGGTGCGAAAGGTGACCAGTTTGGCGAATTTGAGGTTGAAATTGGTGGCTCCGTTGACTCTGTGAAGCTTGTTCACGTATCTGGTCATGTCACTTGTGCCGTATTTGATATTTTGGGCGGTGCCAACGCACGGTCCAAGTTTGGCTGCCAAAAATCGTCATCAGAGCTTTACACCTTTATTACGACCGCGAATAACGACATCCTGCTACCAGAGAGTCGCGAATTCCCGTCCAAGTATACTTTGCAGGGTTATCATCCGGATTCCTCGGAGATTGTCTTCACGAATATCTCAACTCCGCTACGTCTCTCTTCTGGGCAACAGCTTCGAGTCTGGTACGGAGAAGATCTGATGGACGAAACCGAGCACGATAATTCTGGATCAACCTGTGTTGATGTGTATGCTAAGTATATGTGACATCACTCAAGAGTAACAATGTATAGTACTGTAACCTTCAAGGAGTTAAAAATACGTGTTTTGCTTCTAGTTCCCCGGGGCGGACTGTCGCACGAAAGGATCGGGGGTGCTCGTGGGAAAATTTGAATTAAACCGCTAGAGGAGACCAATCTTGGTGTGACTCGGGCTTTATTTGACCCCTAAAAGATACCACTTAAAACCGAATAGGTCGATTACCAGCCTCTGTTCAGGAAAGGCGCTCGCGCTTGTAGACAAACAATTGAGACAGGACTCGAGAGAGCGGCAGAAATCGAGCCTAAAACGGAAACAAGAGCGTTTCTTTAATTGTTATTTCTTCGAGTTCACCAGCTAAAAATAGTGGCCTTTCATCATGAACACGCTAAGTGAGACCAGAATCCTTGATTTATACCCCTAAGCGAGACGACGAGCATCCTGGGCCTTATTCGGGCCTTATTCGGGCCTTATTCGGGCCTCATTCGGGCCTTATTCGGGCCTTATCCTGGGGAGATACACATTTCATCCGCTTTTGTTTTGTGAGAGCGAGCGATCTCAGATTCAGACAAGTTATAATTAGGCTGCTACATCTGCAGTTTTCGTGGCACATTTTTGAGTATTTAATTAATGAGTAGAACATCCATATAATCGGGGGATTCAATGTTAATTTATATGACCGTGACGTTAATTCGGCAACCTTGTTCCCAGGGTCTTCTCCACTTTTCAAAAAAGGCGGTCGTCGAGGAGAAGACCCTAGGGACGAGTTTGACGTTCGAACGTTTTTCTTCTCGTGCGCCTGACGTTTCGTTGGTGCAAAAACAAGTCGCGGACAAGGCAATCATTGCCGAGCAATTATCATTGGGCTGGGTAGAAAATTAAACTGATCACTGAACTTAAAACTTTTACGTCTTCACACCAGACTCGTACCCAGTCGCTATTCACGTGTTTTTGCGAGGAAAGAAGATTGGATACTAGAGTAGATTAAGGCGCGCGGAGTGCCATGGGAACTCCTCGCGCTCCTCAATTCGATCCAGACCGCCTCCAGGTTTCTCTTTGAAACAATCGTTATGGCGACTAAGTGCGAGTCCGACTTCAGACCATCCGAGAAGTTGTATTACTCTTCATTTTAGCTTGGATGTTGCTTGCGCGTTGCTTAGAGGGTTTGTTAATGTTCTGTTTACAAAGCAATCGAAAACCTCCAACGCTGTAGGGATGTCTTCTTTGATATTTTAAAATCAAAGAAAGCAAAAAAGCAAAGAAACTTCGACCCTCGCTGTGTTTTAATACACTCCGGAACTTCTATAGGAGTCTGAATAAGAAACAGATGACCCCTGCCTAGTCTGCCTAAACAAAAATGAATAAACGGCAGAAAAGCCAATCGAAAGCGAAGCAAATTAAACAGACGCCCGTGTGCAACGCAACCAAGCAAACAGATCAGATGGTTGAAAGTGAAGACAGATGCTCCCTGTCCAACAACAAAAGGGAGTTTGAGCAACGACGACATTATATTCAACCTATGAATGTCGTAAGAATTTAGATTCATTCAGTTTGTCTGTCCCAAACTGAATATCTAAGACAGCGTCAAATTCGAAAAAGAAAATTTGAAGAAAAATTGGCCGTCCTAGTTTACGTTCTTAGTCCAGAAGTGGACGGCTTGGAGTAGAGAGCAATGACGATCCTGCGCAACAAGGCGTTTCCCATAGATCATATCCCATAGAAATGTCGGTTGTACTGCAGGGAGCATGCTGTGATCAAAGCAAACAATGGAAAAAGCAATTTTCACCTTAGACAATTCTTTAAGCTTGCTCAGTTTAATGTCTTTAATGTCTGATTATCATAACCGCTTTAAAGTTTATGAATAGCCCGGATTTTCTTTTCCCTGTTGTTTTCCTAAAATGGACCCGAGCGAAACCAAATCGTTTCGACTTTGAAATACTCAACTACACATTGATCGGTGGATTTACAAAATTTGGCTCTGAGAGGAATTTGTTAAGGGCCTGTTTTGTTGCTTTCTGACGGAGGTTTAACCAGAGCAGCCGCCCACTTCAAATCCCGGAGGGGACCTCCCATATAAAAAGGACGGGGGTGCTCCTCGGAAATTTTGAAAAAAATCCCTAAGAGGTACCAAGATCCTGTTCTGTGGGCGTGGCTTGCAATTTTTTTCGCCCCGAAGAGGTACCAATTCTTAAACAACACATTACCTAACACCTTCATAACTTTTAATATAGTGTTGAAGACGATTGCTTGGAATATCTTCTACTCGCAAAGTTGATTATCAAATATCTCCTGTCATTTTTTTTTTCGGCTCAATACCCTAAAATTAAGGTACCACGAAAGCTCCAGCTTTGGACCTTATGAGGCTGAACAGCCTGAGAGGTACCAAAACCGCATTTTTTAACCCCTAAAAGGTGCGACGAGCACCGCCATCCTTTTTATATGGGAGTCGTCCCCTCCGAAAACATTGAAAGAGTCACATATCACATCATCCTCAGAGACCCAGGGGCAGTCAGAAGGAGCAAGGGAGAGTCGAAACGACGGAACAAAAATCGGCGTAGAAAACTTTAACATAAATAACTAAACAGTGCGCCTAATTTGCAGCCCGGGGATGGGG